CTATTAATGTAACTGAGGGCAACATAGGTCGGCTGCTGCAATTCTTGCTTTTCTAAAACACGTGGATCTGTATCTGCAATAAAACACAATTATGATTTTTTTAGGATTTTTTTTACATCAGAATATATGAGGCTCCCTAACATAAAATAACAGAGAGAAAAAGATTGATTTAGAATAGGGAAACTCAGTTCACAAAGCATAATGATTTGTTCATTCATTCATAAAAACAAGATATTACATTGCTTTTCAAGAAATTCCAAACATCAACAGTGATAAAACGCCCATCTGTCACACAAGCTCTTGCACAACCCCCTCATAAAGACTGGCTTTGCTTGCGTACAGTTACAATGCTGGCATGGTTTTCGTGTTTCATTGGCCTAAGAAAGCAAGCCTCTGTTAATTATGCTCACTTCAATACTGGAACAAATTAGTTTACATTGTAAAGCTCCATCCATTTGAAAATCTATGGAGTATTGTTTTTGCTCACTGAACACTTCTGAGTCCAGAGTCATATTCTGGAGGGCTCTCCTCCTTTCTGAATGTGCAATGAATTGATTACAGCTTTTCTAGACTCTTAATCAGAAATCCTCTTAGTGCTTCAGAGTCAACAAGCAGCACATTCCCCAGGGTCTCCCCCCAAAGAGGCAGAGTGCCACACACAGCAGCACAGAGTGGCACACACAGCAGCACAGAGTGCCACACCACAGCAGCACAGAATGCCACACCACAGCAGCACAGAATGCCACACCACAGCAACACAGAATGCCGCACCACAGGAGCACCGCACAATGGCACTTCTCTAGTGTGGGCCAGTAACGAATGTCCTCCTCACAACCAGAAGCATAGCCTCAAGCTTCACATGGGGGGAAATCATTTCCTAAATAGATGTAAAAGAATAATCATATAACAATATAGGGAGCAGGGGGGTCACTGTGTATTGCTTTCATGAAGAAAGGTTAAAGCATTTCACACAAATTTCCTTTCATTAGAACCTCATCCATACTGTCACATGATTAGAAGTCTCTCAGCTGCACTGGGCAGGAACTCCTCTGACGTCACGACAGGCGTTGTTTCAAGCATCTCCGCATGCGGTGGATGTGAGAGACACTAACTCCAATGTGCATGAGCAGGTGACAGAGGAAGGAAGGGCACGGCGGCAGAGAACATGGGCGGCAAAGCAATCAGCCTGACATTGCTTTGGGCCCTCAGACTATACGCCTGGCAGCAGAGCCAGCTTTATTCACTACTTTCTTCATTCGCAAGAGTCTCACGTTCACTCTATCGTTTTTCCTGTGCCAAGAATTCCAGGGAACTCTATTCAGGAATCTTCCTTCCTTGGTCTCTGTCACTGTAAGCCCTTGAAAGCTGAATCAGGAACAAGGGACAAAGAATCTCTGAAAGGCTCCACCACGCCCCGTCTCAGGGTTTTGGCAGAGCAGATGAGACCAGATCCATAAGTCACATTTCCGCCCCTTTTCCCTCCACTTCCCTACGCAGCTGCGGCTGCAGCCTGGTCACTGGTTTAGGGACAAGCTGAGCAGCTGTCAAGGTACAAGGAAGGCACTTTTCAAGGGACATGATTTGCTTTTCTCTTTCTGTCCCCCCCCCCCCCACCAAGACAGGGTTTCTGTGTAGCCCTGGCTGTCCTGGAACTTGCTTTGTAGACCAGGCTGGTCTTGAACTCACAGAGATCTGCCTGCTTCTGCCTCCCGAGTGCTGGATTAAAGGCGTGAGGGGGACATGGCTTTCAAACGTCACCCTTAGCACTTATCCAAGTCTGCTGTAATCTGCACACATCTTCGCTTTTCTGTGCAGAACGTGCTTGCTGGAGGGGAGTACACAGAACCATATTTCAGAGGGAAAATGTCTTGTCTACATAAACAGTCACTGGCATGCTGGACAGGCCATGGGTGCAAATGGTGACTGATGTGCCGAGGTAACAGACGAGATTGGAGACAGAAATTGTGCAAATAAGAGCGGGAAGTTAGAAAAACAAGCAAAAGCAAAAAAAAAAAAAAAAAAGTGGAAAGGTTCCCAAGTCCCCACACAATTCAAATTTGGCTTAGGTGTGGATGGGGGAGCTGTGCTTTTGTGATGTATTGTTACAGAGTTATTTTTAACTAAATGAGCACTACTATGAGCTTACAATTTGTATATCAAGGGGGTTAATGCCATCTTTCATTTTTCTCTTTGTTCTTGTGCCCGGCTTCCTATCAGTTTTCCTACAAACCATACTCTAATCATCCCCTGTTATTATACTGTGTACTTTCTAAAGTTATTTTAAATGCTGCTTTCTCAAGTTATCCTGATTTTCATTTTTCTCGTGTGTGTGTGTGTGTGTGTGTGTGTGTGTGTGTGTGTGTGCGCGCGCGTGCGCGCGCACGCAGGTATATACATTTCTATTATACTTTTCTACTTCAAGCTTGTAAAAATTTGGATCTTGGAGTTTCCCTCAAGGCTTGTGTGTTGAAGGTGTGGTCCCCAGTCTGTGGTACAGTTAGAAGGTGCTGAAATCTTTTGGAGATGGGGTCTAGAGGAAGGAAGTCAGGTCACTGGGAGTGATGTCCTCTTTCCCTAGCTGTCTAGCCAGCATGAGGAGAGCACATCCCAATCAGCTACTCGTTCCCAGTATGGGATTCTGCTCTAACAGGCTGCAAAGCCACGTGACCTATCAACCACAGGTTGAAATTCTAGAACCGTGAGCCACAACAAAGTTTTCTTGAGCCTCTCGACTGTTTCGCCACAGCAATGGAAATTAGACTACCACAGGAGACGGTCTAGTGTCACTCTGAAGGAGGGGGTCAAGTATCTTCTATAGCATGCCACAGCTCCGATGCTCACCAGAAATGCTGTTGCTGTTGACACTCACACAAACTGCATGGCAGTCTTGTTTGACAGAGCATCAACCATGTTCAACACTCTGTTTGCAAAGCGAGATTCGGAAATTCTATTTTCTTTTCCTTCAACATACTCTATAACCTATGTTTGACATGTCTACATTGCCTCAAGTTATAAGTTGGAGGCAGACTTCTGGAAGCTTCTAAATGTCACCTTCTCTGAAACAAAACAACCACTGGAAGTTCCTTAAGCATAAAGTACCCCCTGCCCCTTTATCTAGAATGCAGACTCTAGTAAGCAATATGACATCAGAACATTCTGGACAAACACCCCCAAACCTCAACCTTCTTTTTTAGATTAAATGATTCTTTAAAACAACCTTAATTAGAACAAACATCCACCAAAGCTTTGTTATCTTGAAAATGAAACGATGTACTTGGTGTAAGTCAGGAGAGACTGAAATAAGGCTACTGGAGAGACCACATCAACTGCTGGTCCCAAATAAGCCTGGGTCCCATCACTGGCTTGCTGGCTGTCGTGTGGGGATTATGACTTGCCGTTTTATAGATTTTAATCATGCTCTTGAGCATTTCACATTCAGTAAAAGTGTAATAGCTGCTTTCATTATTTCCCTCTCTCTGACAGCAACATAACTTTCTGGTGCTCAACACTGTGCAAGGAAACGACTCCAGAGGCAGCCTGGCTCTGCCAAGTAGGATGCGTCCCCAGCTGTCAGGATGTCATGTCTCCTCCACAGGCTATGCAGGCCAAAGGAACATCGTCACCGGGTACCACTAGATAGTGCTGTTTCAAATAAAAAGAAAAGCTTCCTTACACTATGCACCCTGCTATTCTGAAATGGGTTTGCACTCTGCTATTCTGAAATGGGTTTGCACATGGTACACTACTACAATAAGTAGTGTAAAAAGAGACCAAACAGCATCTAACATCATCTCCTAGGTAGATCTCTGGCTAATCTGTTCATAGTGCCAATAAAATGAGGAAGGGAAACGTTGGATGCAGCTTCTCAGAGATATAATTCACTTCAAAGTGCTCTGCAGATAAATCCCTTCAATTTTTCAAATTCATATGATGTTCCTTAAGCAGGTAATTTGGCAATTTGTATAATATGGCCAAGGTACAAGGACACACAACAGCACTCTTATACTTTTATATGACCAAGGAGTGACAGGAAGAGAAACTTCCTAGTGGGGCAGGGCAGTACCAAAGAGAAAGAGGACACAGATTATGACTGTCTCTGCCCCAGGACAGTCCTGCTATGTTTCTGAAACAGCAAACTGTAAACAGGCTGGCAATAGACATCGTCTGTCACCATCTCAGGGAGGTATTTTGTTCTGGGGTGAGAACTGAGCTATTGAGCTCCAGCCCCAGGTACAAAGTGAAAGCTTTTCCTAGTTGTGATCCTAGCAATCATGGACTGAATTGAACTGAAAAGTCCTCATTATCACAATACTAGTTCCAATAGTTTCTCAAACAATAGCAGCTAATAAAATAAGATCAAATAAAAATGTAAATAAATGCTGGGCGGTGGTGGCGCACGCCTTTAATCCCAGCACTCGGGAGGCAGAGGCAGGCGGATCTTTGTGAGTTCGAAACCAGCCTGGGCTACCAAGTGAGTTCCAGGAAAGGCGCAAAGCTACACAGAGAAACCCTATCTCGAAAAACCCAAAAAAAAAAAAAAAAAAAAAAAAAAAAAAGTAAATAAATACTAAAACTAAAACAAAGTAAGGTGATGGTTGAGACTGGGAAGGAACACTTCACCTCCTTAGTCCTTGAAGCCCCTGTTCTTCTGTTACAGTCTCTATCATTGACAACCAATGCTTGGACTTGACTTGTAACTTTTCTCTTCTCTTCTCTTCTCTTCTCTTCTCTTCTCTTCTCTTCTCTTCTCTTCT